GGCATAAAAAGGTAAAAGCATACCACATTAATCTGTCCTCGCTCCTTAGACAAAGCGGCAAAATCGTGAAATGTTTTTGTATGAGTTGAGTGACTGTCGGTAGGCGCTGGCGAAATTCATGTTTGTTAGAGTTAAACATGTAGGAGGATTCGAAATTCTTGTATAATGCTTTAGAAATAATGGGCTAAAATAATTTGCATGTTATACAAATTAAAGGTACGGGGAGGTAGTTTTCAATATTATGCTTACTTCTCTTTTTTTAAGAATTGGTACGACCATCGCACTGCGCCAATTAGGGGATAAATGGTGTTGTTTTAGTGATGTTTAAAAATTAATGGTATGATATTTTGAAACTCCTTCTGCGTGTCTTTTTAAAAACTCTTTTGGTATTATGTGTGGCACTGTTACATTCTTTACTTTTAAGTTTAACGGTAATGAAAAACTCCCTCTATAGTGAATATAATATCCCCCAAAGTACTATTGCTATTCGTCGCATTGAAGCTCAAGTCCTCAGTGGCATTGTCTGTATTAACAAACGCACTATGAAAAAAATTATTAAACGTGTCAGCGATATCTTTTGGACCGGCGATAGCTTTATTATTTTTAATTATACACTTGTACTGCTCCTTCCAAGGCTCAAAATGACTCCAACATATGTCGGGTGAATTGTTCCTAAAATTCAACAGAGTTTCAGATAATTGCTTCATACAGAAAATGAAAACCTTCCATGGGGTATTAGGCCTTTGTATCTTTTGTTTTGTTTTGTTTGCGTGTCGCATTTCTTAATATTAACACATATTGATCGTTTACCGGGAAATAAATATTCCAGATTCCATACATATATTTGCAACTCCAATGTTGTATAGATGGCGGGGTGATAGTTCCAAGATGGCGGAAGAAACGGGGACTGGTTCTCCAGGATTTCTTGCTCACCTACTCGCTGACGCTGGTCACTATGCCAGAACTAATTTGGCTAAACATACCAAGTGGTCAGGGCAGGAGCACATCACCGGTGACGGAGTTGTTGACGTGCCTTAAGAAAATGAGCATGTTGAATTTTAAGAGTTGCCAAGCGGATCGCAACTGTTCGTACTTTAACTAACTCCCTTTTTCCGCTAAAACTGCATGATGCTCGAACACGCCGACCAGAACCATGCGGTAACAGCAGCACTAAGGCCGATAGTCCCTGCCACTGTCTGCGCTGCCGCCATTCCTGCTTCTCCGGTTCTTCGTTCGCCCGCGAGGGGGCGAGCGAAGGGCTAAAGTTGCGAATTAAAAGGAGTCCTCAGTGGAACCATGATCTCTTTGGCAGTTGGACCAGCCAGGTGTAAGCGAATCAGCAGTGGGTGGTGGACGAACGTTTATCGGGCACAAGAACGAGTTATCTAGGAGCGAGCATGTGTGACGAGACACATCACGCATACACGATTGTTGTGCTGACGCGACGTCAGAATGATGAGATGACATGACAAATTGAAGCATTATAAAGGTTGGCACTTAAACTTGCTTACGACGGCAACGACCAGATTCAGTCCTCTAGCGCTAAGCGATGATAGGGAGGTGACAAGTCTGAACTGCGGCTTGCACATTGTTCGGGGTGCGCATACCTTATTTCTTTATTTCATTGAAAGCAAAAAGCCACGGTGGAAGCCTGAGAAGAGGCATGCTCATTGTGACCGGGGTCGCCCGCGATAGAGACGCCGCAATCTGGGCCATCTCTGCGGCGACAGCGTTGGCCCCAAGCCCCATTGTATGGGTTGGCGTGCGATGCGCCCGATTTGGAGTCTTTGTGAGTCACCAAACAGCTATTACAATTGGGACACAGCCCGAGTAGTCAAGTCCCGTTGGACTTTGCGTCGGTAACGCGTTTGGGCAAGAAAGAAAGCGCACCGATCGGAATCGGGCGGCGGCATTGCTGTCAGAAGCAGTTGTACGGAGGGACGTTTTTCCTCCTCATCTAACAATTCTGGCTGCGAATCAAGTTTGGAATCTCGTGGACGTGAGCGGCTGCCGCGGATACTGCCGTTGGGAGATGCGGCTTGGTTGATTCGTGCGACGCGTTTCTGAATGACGAATCTTTTGAGTCAAAAACCACGTGACGAGCGAGATGCTGTCTGTTCAGGCGCCCTCATCAAGATCTCTATCATGAACATCGACTTGGCGGGGGGGGGGGGGGGGGCGGGAAACTGGCGCCGCATCTCCAAAGTTTTCTTCTTACGGGAAAAGTATTCTTCCCAAATGTCCCAATAAGACGCCTCGTGTTTTTGCTCGGAATGTTTATAGACCAACTCCAATACCTCCTGGATTCAACTCAGTGATAAGAAGCGGTGCCTGGATTCTGCAAAGGAAGTTATTCATCACTTGGGATAAAGCACAACAAAACAAATGCGTCAAGCCAGCGCAACTTGAATGGTTACAAAACGATTTTAATTTCAACAAACAATATCAAAAAATACGTCAAGTTTGCTTACATATTCTTCCTCTTTGAGGGGATTCTGGAGTGAGGTAACGTAGTCATAAAACACATATTTAGTTACATAATTACTGAGTAAATATTGCCACGGGCTTCTCCTTTTTCTCTGCGTACACTAAAGTTAAGAGGGAGTGGACTAACTTTTAGCTCACATACTCAGTAGTGCCGCGTGTTACGTGCGTGTCTGCCGTGTGTAGCCAACATGACCTTTGAACAAAAGCAGCGGCGGGTAAAACCTGAGACAACAGGAAGGCCAAGCGGCGATCCAAGGAGAAGCACGGGACACCTGGAAGCCAGAGACTAGGTAAGGGTTAGAGACCTGAAAAGACGCTTCTCAAAACACAAGCCGATTGTATCCTAAACAGTTAAATAAATATATCCTAGCATTATCCCAAATTAGCGGCTACATCTCAGTGGCGACGAGGATGGGATCTACTCAACAAAGACAGATGCAAAGAACTCAGCGATATCGAAGCGAAAGTCAACTCGGCAAAGTTAGTGACGCCTGATTTAAAACTTAAAAATGCCTCACATCGGGAGAAGAGTTGGATCAGAAATCGGAATTATGGTCTTCGCACATCGAAAGTATCCAAGTGCCCTTCGCTGCGAGCGATAATTCGGAATCAAACTGAGCCTATCTTCTTCTTTCTATCGTCGGACGAGAACTGTACGGACTAATATGACACTTAATGGCACCTGCCAAACCAATCATCAATGCGCACGCACTAATCGCTCAACTGATGCAGAACTACATCAACTTGACGCCCAATGAAACGGTTCAACGCTACAAATTCCATCACCAGATGCAGCTGGAATCCGGAATCATCACAGGCTACGTAGCTGCGCTCAGGCAGCTTTCACTGCAATCTAACTTCAGCCTTTTCTTTTACTACCTACTTCGAGACAAGCTCATTGGCGGCATTAGGGACAGAAACAGGATCGAACAGCTACTGGCTGAACCGACGCTGACATCCAAGGCAGTGGGGGATCTTGACGCTTCAGTGGATGTATCCATGAAGGACATAAGGAGCAAGACCGATTTCTAACAAGGTCTGAATCGTTTCCAGCAAGGGCGTAAATGCATGACGCCACCTCCGAAAACGACAAGCGAAGGTAAAGGGAAATATCAATAATGAGAAGAACATAAAACACAAAGACGTAAGAAAATAGACACGAAGGCGTCTTGTCCGTCTTTGTGTATTATATTCTTCCTATTATTTATATTACCCTTACCGGCACGCCCTCCGTTCTAAGAAAACCCCTGCACAATTAGGACCCCATGTAACCGTTGCGTCAAAAACAGTCAGTACGCTAAAAAATGCTTTGCTAGGAACAAGACCTGCAAAATGTGCAGAAAAACAGGACACTTGCAGATGGTCCGTCGCGACTGGCGACGAGATCACAAAGATAATAAAAGAAAGGACCGTGTTTACTGACCGTCAGCGTTGCACTTGATGCACAAAGTTAAAAATTTAGCACTCCGCCGCGCTTACCACGTCCTCCAAATCAACGCAATTTAGGGTATATGGTTCTCACCCAGCATGCATGCTTTCAATTGGGACAATGTGCTAATTTTCACAAATTAAGAAGTTGATTAAGAAAATGTTTTAAATACTCGACTTATCGTAACGATTAACCCCTTTTATTATCTCCCCTGGTCCTGTAACTCCCCTGCACAAATCTCAAAAGCCTACCTTTCACGGCTTTTCTTAAAATAAATATTTTCGTATTAAAAATCACACACCGTGTGTATTTTCTATAAATATAAACAATATTTCACGTATCACCGTACCATATTCGTATCGTCTAACGTAAAATCACGCACCTTAAGAAAGCCTCCACAATGCCCCGTGCCTGGCTTATGGCAGGCTGAAGTCACTCGGGAACAAGTGTCTCGTTATACATTCGCTTCAGATCATGCGCCGTACTTTGTGTTCGTTAATGCTGACACAAGCAGCTTCCGCAGTGTGCGACCAGGAAGCCGGTCCTTGACGGGTTCGTCCCGTGCACAAGCGCCCTCGCGGACGCTTCGCCGCTTTCACGGTGCGGCCTGCAGCATCCCGTAACACTGCAGGCAGCCAGGCCAACAGGGCCACCGCTTGGCGCCTCTTTTGCGGGAATCAACGAGAGCTGGTCAAGCCGCCCACCGCGCGGTGGACGCGCGAGCGCAACCGGCGGCAGACGCCTCCCGAAGCGGCTCGCAAACCGTTGACGAAACGCTGTGTTCAAAATGGCTATCATTTTCCTTTCTATGAATATTCGGCGGGGCGGGAGTAGTCTTCAGGGAAGCGCGCCTTCTGCGGAGCGGAGGGTCTAAGGACCGGTTGTCGGCGGCCGGGGTAATTACGGCCGCCACGGCCGACCCGCCGCCGCCTTGTTGCCACCGCAGAGCGAGGCGCGTTCCTCTCCCACTTCTGCCCATCGCATTCTACACGGCCACTTGGGCATAACTGCACGTCAGCCTGCCCCAGCCCCGTCCCCTCGCTGAGTGTTTGAACAGTCGCTCGCTTCGGGGCGGAACGCTCACCCTGGGCACGTGGTTGTCGTTGATGTCCCAGTCCGCATCCTTGACCATGTTGCCGGCCTGCACCATGGGAAAGGTGGCCACGGACCCGTTGCGGGCAGCGGCTGACTATGGGACGCCTTCCAGCGTCGTTCCCGTCGGCATGTGGAGCCCTGCAACGGTTTCGGGAGGTTTCAAGTTGCGTTTGTTGCTGTTTGTGGATCAGCGCGTTGTTGCACCTTAATCGCTGGCAGGGCAAAAACTACGAGCAACAATTTCAGCCGTTCTTGTTCTAGCAAGCTGTTAATGGGTTGCGTGACCATTTAACGTGCTGCGCTTCTAGGACGACACTGAAATAAACCTGGGAATGCAACGACTGGGACAAATTAAATACGTACCTGGAACTTTAAAACCATCAGCGGCAGTGAAAGCAGTAATCGAAACCATCGCAGCGGTGACGAAAACATTCACCAAATCTTCTCAGCTTTGCACCAAGCTTGAATATTGTTAATCAGCATTTGCCATAGCTCTACTTGGATAATTTATCAGAGAAAAGCGTTAATTATTGGGAACTCCACCATCGATGCTATCTGTGCTGTTGTTTTCACCTTGTAAACTCAGCATCCACCGAATCGTGTAACTTGTATTCTTTAACATAACTTGCTCCTGTTTCGGTTTCCGATAACTGTCACACCGAGGCAACATTTTCGCTGTCATGTAAGCTGTGCTGATGTCCCACAATGGGGCTGGGGTGTCAGAGAGCAGAACAAAAGAGCAACAAGTTGGTATATTTTGATGATCAGCTAATGAGGCCGCCGAACACTAGCAATATTTACACCCTTAGGCGACATTTTTATAGTCACTGATTTGCCTTAAATCTGATTCAGCAGACACATACACAAGAGACGCATGCAGGTAAAGCTCACTCCGTCAAAACCAGCCTGGTTTTGACGGAGTGCTGCGAGATTTCTCGGCCGGCGGGCAGACCGGTGGGTGTACGATCTTTGCTGCGCCGCACACCGAAATGGGGCGAACCACATGCCGCGCTTGCAGTCACGATGATGATGATATCATGACCAGATGTCGAACCGGAACCGAATTGAACCGAGAACAGGGACCGCACCGTTATTTTAGCCTAACCGGAACTGCACTGAGCCAGAATCTTCGCCGTCATCTTGGAACTTTACCAGAACGGAACCGAAAAATTATGACGGTAACCGGTTCCAGACGGTTCATGGTAATTTTTTTTTATGTTTTGTTAGTTTCACAAAATTAATATTTGAGAGCGAAAAACTGGCAGCTGTATTTTTATTGTCTAATTGTGATAAGGATGATTCCAATGTATAAGAAATTCGGGGATTTTGTGGCGCTTTTGTCTTGGCACTATGAATAATCATGCGTCACGTGTTAGCATACTGTAAAGAAATGTGACATCACATGACGTAGAGAAAATCGCTAGTTTCATCAGCGTTGTTGACAACGTGACGTCCTTGACATCAGGACTTCGCACTGCGAGTCATACGACACTGTGAAGTACTCGATTGTCATAAGCCCGAGTTGAGTGCTCGTGTTTATGAAAATAAGCATCTCCCAACATTCGGGTTATGGCTCGTGTTCAAAGATTAGGATAGCCGTGCTCTAACAATGTCTGAGGCTCAGCCCATGCTTTATGTTTCGGAAAGCCCAGTGCATGATTATGATGAACACTGACGGTATATAATTAGCGTCAGATCTAGTGGCCCCTTATTGTAATAGACCCTTTCCGAAATTCAGTGCCATCTGGTGGCTGAAATGGCGGTTTAAGTTTTGCCATACGAATGGCGGCAATGAACCCGTAGCCTGCAGTATTTTATCGGGCAACGTCACTTTTGCATGTCAACGGCAGACGAGAATAAACTTTTCGCTATACAGGTTTTTCTGGATCATCTCTTCCAGTGTCGATTCCCTCAACGATGCAAACAGTCAGAACGAAGCGCCAACCCAGACAGACGCCTTGATAAAGTTCTATAAGTCAAGGGGTTTCGAAGTCAATTTTGTGCCACTAACAGGTTCACTGGGCTCGAATTAGAGAAATGAACACTTACGCAGCGCTTGCATTCAATTCCGGTTTCGCAACGTGCTAATGTCTACAATGTATAGGCCTCGAATCCTCAGCTTAGCAGTATCTTCAAGATGTTCCTTCATCAGTAAATAGAAAGCCGCCATTGGTATGGCACATATGCCATTTTTCAGATGATGATGATAGTGATCAAAGTGGCCAGACTGAATTTCGGAAAGGGCCTATTGCGAGTTGAGGAGTGGTAAGCTGTTTCTTTCCTTTGCATTTCTGCCCTGTCATGGCTACGAGAGGAAACCAAATGGCTGCTTTTGCAATTAATAAGCGTCAGGAATTATTTCTTAGCGGTATTTAATAAAAGTAAACAAAAATGTGGTACGACATATTTATATGTACTCCTCATTGCGGCACCCGAACATGTCTTCGTCGTTGCTGAACTACCTCAAAAAGTTGTTTCTGAGAATAGAAAGATTGAAAGGACTAAATGTACCATATTAATCCGACGTTACATAGAACCGCAAGCGTGTACGGGAGAGATACCTGAAAAGAAAGATCCTAGTGTCTTCAGCCGTACGTTGGCAGCCGCTCTAAGTCTTACAGGAGTGCTAGCTGTTCTCAAGTTCTTCCCCAAGTTTTCTTGAAGCTCTACAGCTTCTGGGTGCAAAATAAAACCAATGGAGGATTACTGCTAACACGTGACACAAATGTGAGTGTCGAATTAATACTGCCAACCGCAGGAGGGCCCATGGCATAAAAAGAGGAGCAACAACAGGTGGGGGGGGGGGGGGGGGGGGGGGGGCTTAAAACATTATTGTGCTGTTCAATTTCCTCTTCCTCTACACGGCATCTCCGGCGCAGAGCAAAAGTGCTGCCCCGGAAACTACCTTGTTGGCACAAGCACCCTTGCCAGTAAGCGCATTTTCGTGATACCAGAAACTTTCACACGACCCTGCACCTAGAGAAAATAAATTGTATCTCAAACACATGCATGGTTTGAACTGATCTGAAACCTTCTACTGCTTTATTTTGCATCACCAGATTTCATTTTCTCAGCAAAAAAAAATGGCTAAGACCACCAGCATAGATTTCAATAACGTCAAATGCAAACCACGTTAACCAGTTCAGCTGTCTGGTAAGATGCAATGTTCGCGATACAAGCAAAATTAGATGTACAAATTGTAAAGGATTGAAGTATATATAGCACTCTCGCAATAATATACGGCAGCCTAATAAAACGTTAAAGTGCATAACTGGCAGAGAACAGATTTGTCAAGTGTGGTCCCAATATAAGTGGACGCAAAACCGGATAGAACTTTACCCTCCTGAGGCAGTATTTCACAAAATTTTCGAGTTCATGCAAGCTGATGCCCAAATGTGATTTACGTTAGGGTTACAAGAACCTTCATCTGTCCCTCGCACTATTTATGTGTAACAAGGAATATAATTGCATATCTATGTATTTCTTTTTGCAGTAAGGCATCGTGTATCAGACTCTTTTGAAGAATACCATTCATTAGCTCTATAACTCTGCACATTTTGTGTATTTGCCTTAAGATCAATCCTGTGAGCACGATCACCTTTTTAACATACCCCGTCACCCAATGTTCCACACTGCAAAACAGCGAGCGAAAAATCCCTTTTCCGCAAACGGCTCAACGGCTGGAGTATTCTCGAATATCGTGCTCCCATGATGGTCCCAAACGGCTATTTGAACTTCATATCGCCAAACTTAATAATGATAATAAAAATATACTTAAATACTGACTTATGCTAGGACAACATAAATGGTGGTCCGATCACCTTAAAGATATACACTATTAGTGAATTCACCTCCAAGTGATCACATAGCGGACGTGTATTCCATTCGCTCCTATTTTCTCTGCTTACTGCTACTACGTTGCCCATCGCCAGTGAGTATTTTTTTTTCTCTCATTTCATCATAAGGAGTTCTTGCTGGCTTGCAAGGTTCTGGCTTGCCAGTTGCGCGGCACTCCAGCCGGCAAGGCATGGAAATTTCAACGTCCTTAGTCGCCGCCATGGCGGAACCGCTCCCGCCTGACGACGAAGAACTTGCCAGCGTTTCGGGCTCAATTGCCGACGACAATCAAGGTGCGTTCCAGGATGTCGTCCGCGAAACAAGGAGGCACTGCCCAAGTCAAGGCTCTGGTTCTAGCGAGCAGACCATCAAAACCCAAACCGAGCCCACTGTCGGTCTCGTAGTTCTTTTCACTCCTGTGGACAAAGATGTAAGAATTGACTCCATCACTTCGGTTCGCCTCACGTCCACTCTGGAGACGCTCGTGCCTTCGTGTGTTATTGAGGTGCGCTTTAACAGGCGGAAGAATCTCCTAGCGATTGACACGCGGAATGGACAGAAGACACGTACTCTCCTTGGCCAGACCACGCTTTGCGGTATGAAAGTGCGTGCTTTCGAGCCTCGTGGAAAGACCTCCAGCGTTGGAATCGTCCGCGACATTGACAGCACCCTTTCTGACTCCGCAATACTCGGAGTTTTGCGCTCAACAGTAGGCATCCGCAAGGTCTGTCGCATCGGCAAGTCCACTACTATTCGAGTTGAGTTTGCTTCTTCTACACTTCCTGAGCACGTCTACGTCCGCCTGGTTCGACATAGCGTCGACCTGTATGTCAACAACCCCATCCAATGCCACCGATGCGGTTTGTTTGGCCATGTTGCGGCTGTGTGTAAGCGGTCGCTAACTTGCCTCCGATGCGCAGAGCCTCACGCAACTACGGAATGCACAGGCTCGAGCACTCTTTGCGTCAACTGCAAGAAACCACATGAAACAACATCACAACAGTGCCCATTCTGGCAAGCTGAGCGCTCTGTGTGTCGCTTTCGCTGCGAGAACAATGTTTCCTTCGCAGAAGCACGAGCCCAAGTGGACAAACGTACGGCCGAGCGGGCGGCTCCACGAGCCGAAGCTGCAACAGAAATGGTTGTTCTAACTGAAAAACTTCAACGAAGCCGACGTCATTCTCGACGACGCCAGGCGGAACAACATATTGCAGACAAACAAGACCCGCCATCATCGCTTGTCGCCGAAGCCCCGAAGCCAATGGACACAGAGCCTGCGCCTAAGGAAGCACCTGTCCTTG